TCTTTGAAATTGAGAAAAAAATGGAACAAGAGGGAAAAGGGGATGATACGAATTAAATAACTGGACGGTAATAAGGAGTCAAGAGTTGATGGGTTGGCGTTACGTTTCTCTAAGCGTTCGTAATAAGAAGCTTAATAATGGGAACCGGTACTGTAACGACGATAACAATCATCATAACCGTAACAGGCATAATAACCGTAATGACCAACAGGATGCGATAATACGTCGGCGTCGCAGGATTCGGTGGGTCAGGATGAAATTTGTAGCTTCGAAATGCGAGACCGTGTCTGCGCTTCTATCCTGCCATAATTCCGCATTCAGAATCGGTGGACTTCGTGGACCGATGTTAATTCACTCGAGCTTCGACTCGCTCTCTTCTCACGAATCTTGTTTTTAATCTTGGCTTGTTTTTAATCGTCCAGATTAAACGGGGGAAGAGATTAAATCAAGAGATGAATCCATAGAATAATTTGGTTAATGGTTCTTTACTTAAGTTCAAACTCTAATAATTTTGAGGTTATGCCGTTAGACGTGAAGTTAGCAGGCGTTGAGGTTAGGTTATGGGGAGAAAATTTGTCATGGACGTCTACTGAAAGTCGTGTGTCGTGGTTAAGCATTGTTGCTTGACAATGGAGGCTATTCCCCTGACGTATACCAAGATTTAGAATGTAATTCTAGGGAATGGCTCACACACAATGGGATAATCGTCGACGAAATCGTACGCAATCGTTGATCCAATCCAAAAATAAAAATCTCGATCGTCTTCCATTTTTTTTTTTTTTTTTTACAATGAGATTCTCTCCAACCGATTCAGAGACCATATTCGACGAAATATCTTTGCAAATCCTTTATTGACCGGGGCGAAGAAGAGGAAGAGTCGTGTATCGCCAGAAGCAATATCGCGACGCGAAGGAACATCCTTGGAGGCGAGGCGATGATCGATCACCTTGCGGATCGATCGGGCTCGCGTGTATCGCTAGGCTGTTCGATTGCAAGGGACAGCGGATAGGGAAACTTATCTATCCCGGGCATGGGACACAGGACAAAGGATAATAAATGGCTGTGGCTGGCTGCTTGAGCATTCGAAAAGGTAAACGGCGGCGGAGTTGCGCTTTGAGGATGAGCCGACTTTAAATCACGCTCGCTACCACCACGATGTAGATAGCTTTAGAGGCGGAGAAACCGCTCCCCCCGTTCCATGCATCTCGAGATATCTCTATTTCCGTTGATAGGCGACGCGGCGCGCGTCCAAGTAATATCTGTCCTCGGAGACGAGCTCACGGATTCGACTACCATCGGCGAGAAAGTCGATTCAATCGTCGGCCGAGGATCGTCGATGATGATCGCTCGGCTATTTTTACACGTGGATGGTCATAATTTAAAGATTCGCTTTGAAACGCTCCCTTGAAAATTTATGGTTATGCGCGTTGTTCCGATGTTTTAAAGTCTCTGCTGATGCATTATCTATTTCTCTTTGGAACTTTGAATTTTCACGGTATTTTGGGATAGAGTTTGTATGCGGATAACGAAATGGAGAGAAATGGAGGGAAAAAAAGGAAGTGGCAATAAATAAAGAGGACAAAAGAAACGAATAATTTTTTGGAAATTTTTGAAACGAGAAATAAAATTTTCCTAGAATTAATCATGACTCTTGTACATATAAAATTCCATTCTTTATAAAACTTATATCTTTATATCTTTTTAAGGCCAATGTTAATTTTTATCTTCAAAACACTACGATTGTTTTTTTTTTTTCCTCTCATATGATATAAAAACGTTCAACATAAATTGCCTTCGTTTCCAAACCAATAATTCGATGTGCAAGATATACGACAATTTTTTTCCACTCCCGGATACATAGAGCGTACTATAAATCTCAGTATTTCTGATAAACGTCGATGGACGTCGTGATATTAAACGTTCGTAGCGCGATGGTAATAAAAAATTCTTGGCCGAACAGCGTGCAAAAAGAAAAAAAAAGTCGGGGGCAATCGATCGATTCGAGAAATTCATAAAGTGAACTGAATTCCTTGTGCAGGATCTACACAGCGTCGATCTCGAGGAATTCAAGCACGGCGGGACCAATATCACTGCCTTTCGATTAGTGGACCCGGAGAAACAGGATATACAAAAAGTCGTGCAAGATTGGATCTACGGGGAGAAGCGTTATAATCGTGAGCTCGATATGGGGCAGAACTCCAACAAGGTAGGATGAAATATTATATACACGTACGTCGCTTCATATTACCTATTAATTAGACACAGTCGTTGCGATTAACCGTGTTACTGATTTCCGAATATTTCAGGTATATCATATTCCACCCACATCTCTCTCTCGAATTCGCGTTATAACTAATTTCCAATTTTGGTTATTCAATTTTTAACAAATCAGTTTCTATCGTTAATTTATTACCTTCCTATTAGTTGAATTATTGATATATGACGTTAGTAATTATATAAATGATCTCCTCTTCGTTTGATATAATATACGTACATTATATCTGTTTGAATTTAATAATGATTTAATCTTAATAAATTACATTTGCGGATCTGAGCTTCTTTAATCTCGTTGAACGATTGATCATGTAAAAATGAAGAAAGTGTAACGACATTAGTGATTCTTTACGAACAATATTCAACGCATATAGAATTGAATTTCGTTCTTTCTTCTTTAAGTATTAAAAATTCGCTTGAAATAACAAATTATAAAAAATTCATATTTACACCGTATATTTTTATTTGAACATAACTCCCTTATTAATTTTCGGTTGCTTTTAAGGCGCAATATTATCAGGCCAATTTTAATTCCCTCTCAAACGTGAATTAACAGAAGCGCAGAGATTCGACATTCTTGGGGAGGAGGGAAGAGGGGGTTGTTTGTTTTCTCCGCGGAACGGAAGCGTGCACGCGTGCGAACTTAATTAGCGTCGCGACACGTCGTCAACGCGAAGGATTTTAACAGTTACAGGGTTGCGGTGTCGATGTAATTTTCTCGTTGAACGAGCCTGCTCGAACTCATCAGGCACGCCCGTATGCATGCAAATGAGAAGATCGCGAATCGAAACTGCCGCTGCCCGCTTTACACCAAACCTATATAACTCTGTAATAACGCTTTAATTTTACATTCTTCGCGCAAACCACCCTTGACAGCTGCATCGATCCTTCTTCGACGCTTCGAGACGGGCCGCTCGCACCCCCTCCTCGCATCACATTTGACCGGGAATAAGTCGATTGGATCTTTGGGATATATATATATATTGTAATACGATATTACGCGTTGAAAGGTTGGCGTCGTGGGAAATTGAGTTTCTCGTAAAGTGTACAAGGGGATGTTGTAAGAAGAGTGGAAGTATCGATAAGATGAAATGACAATTGAATTTTCGAATTCGATTCTTTATCATCGGAAGAATAAGAAGACTTTCATCTCTTTGAGAAATTGCGATAATTTTATTGAGAGGAATTTAGCGATTCATTCTTCATTATTTATTTTATTTTTTCGTTAGTAATGGCGAAGAAATTTCTTTTTTCTTTTTTGCAAAAATGCATATTTAGAAGAATGTTATGTAGTTTCAATAATTTTGTAAAGTTTCTATTTCTATGTATATTTGACGAAGTAACTTTATGATTGTGAAAAATGAAGGAAATAGAGTAGCTTTTTGTTACTTCTGTGCACCATCCAAATTCGTAGCCAATTGCGGTACTCGATTGATCGTGAGAGTTTCGTTGCGGAAATTGCCTATGCAATTTACCTACTTCCTCTTAGTGTGTTCCTCACTCTGCCACATATAAACCCGCTAACGAAATGACATCGTATTACGCGTACGTGTGTGAATGTGTAATATATATATATATATACATATACGTATGTACATATGCGCTTGTACTCCCATTAGATAGCCCCTATTTTCTCTGTTTGCTTCGATTGGTGAAATGCGACGAGGAGAATTACTAAAATCGATCGATGATACAATTGACCGTGGAAGAATGGTGGCTCTCCTATTCGATATTTTATTTCACATTTTATCGAAGGAATTTTCTACTTCGTAAAAAAAAAAAAAAAAAATAAAAAATAAAAAAACATTTTCAAATTTGTCCCTTATACATATAAAAGAGATATTTTACGTTGTTGTATCCGATAGTAAAAATTTCTTTCAATTCTCGTAAAGACGTGAATAAAAATTTAATAGTTCACACTTATATCCGCTTTTATCGCTTTCCAACTATAAAAAAAATTTCTCATAAGCTTTTTCATATCATATAAATTATATATATAATAAATATAATAAATTATATACTTTCTCCTTCCCTTATTCATCGCAATACATAGGATATTTCTTCTTCCAACTATCAAGCGCGAAACGCAAACAAGTTCCGGATTACGCAGTTAATTGGCGGTTGTTCGGACGAATCGTGAGCCGGCATCACGAAGGCAGATTATATCATTGCGCGCATCTGGCATGAACCGCGGAAAAGTTGAGCAGCGGATTTGGACGTTCGGCATCCCGGTGGGAAGCAACATCTGTCGCGAGCAACGCCACCGTTCCATCCCCTTAAAAAGGTTAAATTGCATCGGCGCTCTCGCACGTTCTCGCAAACTTCGAGCCAAAGTTTTTTTTTTTTACAACCGAGACAGATACGAATTTGATCTTAACGTACTTGAATCGAAATCTAAAATATTTCCTGCGAATTTTCTTCACTCATCATTTCGAGCGTCGCAATTAGAAGATTCAACGACGAAATATCTCGTAAGATGTGGTAAGAAAAATAGAAGGATATATATTTTTTCTATTCAACTTTATCCAAACTTACGACACAACGAGCACAAATTTTATCACTTTATATCTATATAAAACTGTACATAAATTTTTCTTCGATTAAAAGATTCGATAACGAATGATATCTCGTGAAACGCAGAGAAGATACATGTATATTGTAGATAAAGTTAAATCTTATCCAAAATTATGGGAAAATTCGTATATATATATATCACTCTTTCTTCAATTAGACGAATATCCCGAAGGTATCCCAACTCGGTAGGGAGGGCTCCCTTTGGATAAGGCCGGGCATCGGCGATGGAAACGCGGAAAATAAGATCACACAGGTTCACCTATGAAAGCGCAAACAATTGAACGAGATCACCGGAGCCTGGCTGCTAGTGTGAGAGAGGGGTTAAATAATGGAGGCTCTCTGGAACCGCTGGAAGGCACCCCGGGGGATTCTAAGGTTGCCGAGCTTTATATCTTTTTACCTACGGCCTTTCTGCCTTTTCCTATACCCTCCATTCATTTCTTTCCCCCGTGGAGGCACGCTTGTTTGATCCCTGACCCGTTCATAACGCGAAGAAAACGACCCCCCACGGAAGTCTCTAGTCACCGATGGCCGCGCACTTGAGGATGCCCCCCCCTTTTTTTCCCTTTCTTTCTTTCTCTTTT